CCCTTTCGCATAAACAACCCCCCCCCACCCCTCGGAGACGGTTGCTGATAAGAATTCTTATTCACTGTAATTACCATACCCACAATCACAGAAAATGTGCTTTCTCTTCTCTTTTAGGGGTCACAACCACAAAGACATGTCGAAACAATGAATTTCACATTTCTCGAATAACAACTTTTCACCTTGTCTGAAGATATTGTCAACCTTCTGGTGCATATCAAGAGGCCACTGTTAGAAAGATGTTTGATTAATTGTGAGTACGAATATTTTTTGCAGGGATGTGCTGATGCACTTTACGACTCTGTTTATCGTCATTTGGACATCGTCATTGCTGTTTGCGTGATTGTAGGCGCACTCCAGGTAGTTTATATAACTAATAAATTCAGGGCTGCACTGCCAAATAACCAAATAACACACAATGATTTTCAGGATACGGTAGTGCTATAACAGCGTAGATTAACATAAAAACTGGAGACATTATAAAAATAGCTGTGGAGTTGGCGATTACTCCCATCGAGAGCGGGACAAGAAAGGGGGTACAGATTCAGCAGAGGCAATTCCATACTGTCGGCTCTTACCTCCTGAGATTAATAGTTCCAGAAGCTGTCATATCATCTGCTCGGAAGAGAATTATCCTTTTAATACTAAGGCACGCACATTCAGTTATGCAATGAGCTCCTTTCTAGGACAGGTTAACCATTCTACTGCTGGGCGTAGGTCAGGAGGCGCCACGTGTGTAGACATATGCACCACCGGCGCGACCCAGCGCGTAATCCGCGCGCGGTGACCTCCAAAGCGTCTCCTAACCCTGTGAACCATACCTTTCAGGCCTTTTAAAACTTAACCACACTAAAGTTATGAACTTCCGAATGCAATTAGCTTTTTTCCATCAATATACATTCTTACAGCATATACAACCAGTGAAATTGGCGTTTCAGTTACTAGGCATGGTTCTGTCAATGATCCTCTGCTGTTGTGTCAACTCACAAAACAAGAAATACGATTACTAACTGCTCAATTCTATCCCGACTTGTGGTGGACGCTTACGGTATTCTGAAGTTACGAAAATCGCGTTCTCATCTGGCAATGAGACCGACGATTTTCCTATCAGAGGAGGCGCCACGTTTGTAGATACAGTTTTGTACGTTTTTGCAGCTCTCATTCAATTGATGGGCTCTTTTTAAAGAGAAGAAGAATAATGAATTTTTATTGTTCTATGACACGCAAAGGCACATATCATGAAACGAATGTTATGTAGAAAGACAACAACAAAGCCGGGATACCTTGAAATGAAAACACGTGTTACGAATTACAAAGTGACTTAAATTTAATCCGCAATTAGTTAATTATGCCTTGAGCTGAATGAGTTCTATATACACTCTTACTTTACAGGCACTGTTATTGATCAATTAAACTTTGAGAAGTACAAAAAAAAGTTAAACATCCTAAATTATGCAACCAGAAAGCGACGAGATACTAGCCATCGAAAAAAAAGAAGATCAAAAATCTCAAAGATGCTAAAAAATACTCTCTTAGATAGTACATCAATTACATCTGTCACCACATTCTTGGTTGTAATTATTGAAATGATTTTTAATTCTTATCCACAAATTTAAAAATACATATCTCTTAACATTAGCAATAAATGCCCAATCACCCACATTGAAATTTATAACTATATGAAATCTCATGCAAAATGCCAAAAAAATAATAAAAGACATCGTAAACAAGGCAGATGTGGAAATTCAAAGACGATTCCCACGTTTTATAAATGACAGGTATTTGTAGATGGACTAAAAGGATCGTAAATCCCCTCCGATTTATGGAAATTCAAATTATTCACAAATTAAGTGAAAAGAAATTGATCTGTGCATAATATTGAATCTATCACACCACAAAATTATAGTTCCGACTCAAACTGTGACTTTTCGCTAAATATCCCATGAGTTTTGATCAAACAAATGCAAAAATTTGAGCATTCTTGAGAAGAACACAGAGAAGCCCCTATATTTCGATCATTCCAAAGTAATAGTCGCTTTTACAGAAATAATAAGCTCTGAAAATTCCCGGGAAATACTTCCCTAATGCCGAAAGTAATTTGGGAAGTCCACACGATAAATTTTTTTGCATAAATGCCTTGGGTTAGGTCAATTGTAGTGAATCGATATTAAGATAACCGAAGGGTCGTGACTTACACAGGTGTTCGTATGGAACAGGGTACCTCTTGACCCTCGCCAATCCCTAGGGACAAGGTCAAACCGTAGAAATTTGATTAATGGCAGTAGCGATGAATTTTTCAGCATACGAAAATGAATCATTCAATGTTTTTAAATGAATTATTTGGGTGTAATAAGAAATGACAAAATAAAACCTAAAAATGGTTAACACGACAAGGGTAAATAAATTATATTAGTTAGGTAGTGTCATTCATTCTAGCTCGTAAAAAAGGGATATAACTTCGGAGAGTAGTTTTGCGATTATTACGATTCTCTGAGTTATCCGGAGCTTGAAGTACACCCAGCTGTGCAGGTGTCAAAAGACATAATGCAGATGCAACCGCTAGTCCTGATGTACCATTTGGTGTTGTTGCCCGACCTCCTGTTGGTAAACGCACGGCAAGAGTGAAAATACCCGACTTGTAGTTACTACAAGGTTCCACGGAAAGAGGTGTAGGTCCTTGAACGGGGCCCGATGCCTGGAAAGCATTTCTAACACAAAAGGCAAAGATAAAAGAAGCACAGTTCAAAAAAAAAACCGGTATATACCAGATCGGCATAAAAGTTTTGAGAATATTTGACTGCAAAAGGCCACCTAGTAACCACAAGTCTGAACCCTGTGCTGATGATGGCAGATATTAACAGATAGACCACAGCGGTAAAAGGCAACAGTACGTCTTACCAACTGAGTCGCCCAACATTTCCTTTCCACTTTTTGACGCCTTTTTTTCCAGCTACCTCGCTCCCAAAGGGATATGTACAACTGGGAACCCTTTCCTGGATCATATATCGCGTCCGATTGGAACAAGAAATACAGTTAACTAGTTTGAAATTCTTCGCATTTCATACTTTGTTCATATGAAATCACGAGACCCCAAATTGAAGAAGTGAAGACAAGTTACGAAACGTACCGGGAAGCAATGCGGACTTGTGAGTTCAAGCTTGACTGAAGAGAATGGTCGAGACGCCATCTGAAAACCGAATACAATCAGGTGCTTTCAAGGATCAACAAAGCGTCGAGGTGAGAAGAACTATCACTTCTGCAACGGATCAAACCCACAACCCAACATAAACCCGATGAAAATTGCAGAAAGTAAGCAATTTTCTACATACTCAAGCTCAGAAAAATACAAAGGATTCGAAAAAAGATGTCCCCACATGTTCAATTTCATCAATCCGCCGTTGATTCCTTCGATACACCTCAATTCGAAGTTTAATCATCCATAGTAAACCAGCAACAACCAGAAGGACAATGAAACAGCTGAAATGACAAGTCAACACTTCTGACAACAGGGAAGTTGGATACATGTCTTATATGCCCTTACGCTGCAAATATCACAAAGAATAACACCCAGTTAATGGGAGGTGACTGCGCAAACGAGACTTGAATTGTAATAGGCGTTGTGAAGTTAAACACTCGCACCTGAAAAAAATATAAACAATCTGGCGAACCTGATCCAGATGATGGACAAGGACGCAGCAAAAAAAAATACAACTCGCTGTAAATGAATCTATTGAGTTTTTGAATATGTATCATGGAATAAGCGAACCCAAGATAAAGAGCAAATGATAATTTCAGTCGAAAAGCAGAAATATACACCACAAACTTTACTTACAAAGAAGGTAGTGTTAGCATCAGTTCCGTAAGCGTAATCGGGATCTGAGGCGACATAAACTCGACGAAAACCTTTTGCATCACAGGTTGTATTGAGCTGAAAATTATGACTTAACAAAGGACACAGAAACTCATTCAATACTATTTTTTACATTTCCGAGAAATAAAAAACATCGAGGAACACTTACTTAGTCAAAAACTTGATGTGTGGAGTGAGCACATGGGTACCTCCCATGACTGGAAGGCAAGCCGAATGAGTTTCTAATCCACAAAAGCAAAGTTTTTGGGGGTGGGGCGCCGTACAAATCTGCGTTTTTACCTAACCGGATCGCGCGACGTTTCAAACCAACCGCTCAATTTCGATTTGAAAAAAAAGGTGTGTGCACAAGAGCTCAGCGATGAATACATTGCCATGCGATGTGGGAGGTAAGGTAGCTCAAAGTAGCGCCGTCAGCACATGCAATACAGGGGGCAAGATACCACATCAAACCCCGTCCAAGCAAACCAATATATCCATATCGCCAGGGTCGACTAAGTGCCACTAAGGGGACGTTTATGGAAGTAATGTCATAAGAGAGCGTTAAGATAGCGAGGCCACAGGTAGACTGTGAGGACGGCGCAGATTTTCAAAACAGTAATTAAATCAAGCGGTCTTAAAAACGTTACTACTCATTGCTTTGGTTCACCATGCTGGTAAATAAAGTCAGACATCGAGAAAGGGGACACATACGGTAGCACAGTGTTGGATTCAGAATGCAAGTTAATAACATGAGCTATTTCCGAATAAAGTAATCATCCTACTAGTCATACGAGTTTTGATATCTAAACTAGACTACTATTAACCCACCATCATTCTTCTAGGAGTCGACTCGAATAAAGAAGAAGTGATATTTAATGCCACGTTCGCCTGGGACCCTCCATCACAACTGATTTGGAAAGTGACATCGGTATCTTTCTGAAAACACAGAATCAGAACGTAAAGAATAAATAATCAGATAAGAAATGATTTGATGAAGCATGTTTTCTTACGAGCCCTAGTTACTCATCAAATGTGATTAGCCTCGGAAAGACCGCACAATAAGCGACCTATCACAAAACTGCGAATGGTCGCGAAAACAAATAACAACGTTCCACAGAAGAGCAAACTATGAAGGCAAAAAAGAAATGAGACTGGTTTAGTGTTCGGCATAAAAAAACATCAAAACCTTACTTTGTGAGGAATACTGAAGAGGTAAATTTCTGTAGCATGTTTGTCCTTATCTTCATTTTTCAGCTTGAATGTGAATATGAAGTCAACGCTGAGTTCGTCTGAAAGCTCCATATTAATCCGCAATGCACTTATCACAAAGGTTTACAGAAAATCTCCGATTAATTTGAGGTAAGACGGATCAAAATCAATTCCTTTGAAACGAACACTGGAGAGTTTGAAAGTGAAGAATGTAAGAAAAACACGAAAATTTTTGAAAAAAGGATTCGGATCAACATCGAACTCTCTCTCACTATAAACACATCATAGAAGATTCGCGTGACATCTTAAGCCATACAATTTTTCGTGTATTCGGAAAATTCGTACTCCCCGATTCTATTTTATGTAGTCACGTCCAAATCAAACTTTTCCCTCAAAACTTGGAAAAGCACAAAGAAATGGAAGGGTATCAACTCACAATAGCAAGGAGTCCCATTTTTTGGCTNCGAAAATTTTTGAAAAAAGGATTCGGATCAACATCGAACTCTCTCTCACTATAAACACATCATAGAAGATTCGCGTGAAATCATTTTATGTAGTCACGTCCAAATCAAACTTTCCCTCAAAACTTGGAAAAGCACAAAGAAATGGAAGGGTATCAACTCACAATAGCAAGGAGTCCCATTTTTCGGCTGCCCGTAGTATTTTTGGTCACAGCGATCACAGCTAGCTCCACTTACACCTTTCGTTCTACAGTGACAGGTCCCAGTAATATGATCACAGGTATCTGCTTGACCATTGCATTGGCAGGCTGTAATATTAATTGAAATGCTTTCCTTGAAATCCTCATTTCATTGCACCATCAGAATTAAGATTGTCTCATTCGTAGAAAAATTTCCGATAACTCACGTGAACAGTTGTCTCCGTTTCGAGGATCACCATGATATCCAGGAGCACAGATTTCACAATGTTTTCCCATTGTATTGTTTTGGCATTCACCACAAACTTCTTGGACTCCACCAAAAGTTTGGCGAGTCTCGTTGCACATCGAATGCCCATTACATTGGCAAGCTAGAAAGGTCAACAGACAAATCAATAGATCTAGATCATATTCCTAATGGTACTTTTATTTAGTAGAGTAACGACCAATGCCACCCAACTGACTGCGTTTCGAAAGAATTCAGATTAAACTACACAGAAGTCAACTGGTACACAACAGACCTGGACAATCGATGAAATACCACTGATGTTGCTGGAAATCAGGCGAACGCTCCAGCGGACCACGTGCTGACCCTCTAGTGCAGGTACCAAGACCTGTACGAGAACCATCGTCGAGCCATCCACATTCTGGGGACAGATGGCATTCGGCACACGTCTTGTGTGTGGAACAGTTTGAAGACTCTGAATGATCCATTTCTCAAAAGCGCTTCGACTAACTTTAGGCCACATCAGAAACTTGTCAGGAGTCTACTACAAGATCGAAATGAACTAACACCCTAAGTTTTACAAAAAACCCTATTATGCTTCGTTGAACAAAGATAAAATTACCGCATGCAACAAGGATGCAATACATAAAGCACACCCGATGATGGCTTTATTATTGAACGGGAAGCTGTACAACAGGAAAGTAACGGGATATTGCAGTAAAACCTACCGATACGACAAGATTTCGAGAAAGCGAATCCATGTGCATGACCGGCAACCCATGAAGGGCACTGTCCATACGCAAAGGAAAGAGCGTACGCCTCCATGTTTATGCATCTGAAAACAAATAAATGTTCAACCTCATCAACACCCACGACTAATAATTATCTCAAAAAAAATAATAAGTTCGAAAACAGATGGGCCGTTGGTACCAGAATCACGGAACGTGAGTTAAAAGTCAAAACAGGATGGATAAAAGAGTCCGAAAACATTTTATCCCTCCACGACTTTGTGGTTCCCACTCGTCCATCACACTCTGTATAAGTGATTAGCTGTCAAGCTTATTTCCCCATGAACCAGGTGGACGAAAAATGTATTCACCCCCGAGTTCATTGTTCTATCATGCCTTTCTATGCAACAATAAAGGCTTCATATCAAGCAGCTCTGACACCCAGTACAGAAAAGTTTATTTAAAATGAACAATGAACTTGAACCCAGCTCAATCTAAAATGTAATAGCACTTGGAATTGAAATGAACCTCACCACCAACTCGGGTCAGTTTGTTGGCCGCTAAAGGGACTAAAGAACAAACCAAAGTCCAACAACAGTGCTAAAGAAAACTAACCTGCTGGTACTCGGGCACCACATACACTTCTGTTCTTGAAGGCATTCACTGCAGGTGTACAATGACGAACACGGCAATGGGCAGTACGATAGATTTTGTCCAGGAGGGATCGGTGGTGGTGTAGTAGGCAGCCGTAGAGGGAGACTGGAGGAAGCGACACGATCGAGTTCGCGATCTAGTTGCTCTTTTCTCAGCAAGACTGTAAGAGTAAAAGTAAGTTGACGACAGCGTTTCACCATTATTGCACTTGTGCACTTACTTTCATCTTCCAAAGGTATGCATGCTGGCTTTCCATCAGCGGTATACCAATTGCAGTGAGACAGTAGCTTGCAGCTACGACAGTCATTCGCCATTCCACATGGCCGAGGCGGTGGCGGACCTCGCGACGATGAGCATTTTTCCCAAGTTGTATGCATCATCTAGATGCGATTTTTTGCATACATTTGGATCATAAAGATTTAAACAGAAAAAAAAANAAAAAAAATCGATTTGAGAAATCCGTACCTGTCCGTCAACGCATTCACCCTCATTTGGAAGGCACTGATCTCCAGATGGGCACCAACCACACGCTGGCTCAGAAATGCATGACATGCAATCAGTGTAGTCTTCACATGTTTGCAGAGCTTGCCTAATGTGTGATGCATAGGGATATGGATGGAACAGCTAAATGATGGATCAAGAAAAAGATGGCCCACCTTAGAGCAGTGTTCCTGCATTCGGACATTGATTTCGGTACCTCGTTCTTGACAAAAGACAAGAAGGACTGTTTGTAGCTGACAAATGGGTCAAATCTCACACATGCACGTTCAGTGAATATGCATTTCACTCCGTCGATCAGCGAGCGACATTCTTCCGGGCGTGTAGCAGAGGAGCACTCAGCTAAACAGAAATAATTAGAGGACGAGGACCATGACATTGAATGTTCAGCATTATAGCTACTAGCTACAAACAGCCTCAGAAGTTTGCGTGAACCATGTGGGACGAATTTAAAAAGCGCTAGTCACTAAAGAACTTCTCTAGTCTCAACTCCGACAAGTTCAATATTGACAAGTTGAACAAAATGAATGGAAACTATAACGGCTGGACAAAAAGCACCCATAACCATGCAGGACCATCAATTTTCAGGGAATATGGATGCACTTTCTTGATGTATCCGAGCTCCAAATTTTTAACGCCAGCAAAGGGATGCAATGAAGTATCCATAAAGAATGAATGGCTGACTGAATACGAAAAGAGGATATTCAGCGCTTGAAAAGGGAACAACAGGAGAGATAAAAGGGAATTAGGCCGTTTTCAAGGGATGAACTCATTCTTAATAAAAGTATTGCTACTCATCACTCCCTAGAAAATGACCCTAGAAAGTAAGACGAGCAAAAAATTAAAAAGCAAAACATCCGAACCTGCAGAGAAGCGCCACACATCGTTCAGCATTTTCCCATTGAATCCTCCAATGACGTAGAGCTCATAGTTAGTTGCTACTGCTGTGTGGCCATACCGCCGTAATTGAACTGCATCAGACGAGATATTGAACCACTGCTTACAAGCTGGAAAGTTGATCTTTAATTAGTGTTTCTACGAGTTACAAGATGAGCAGGTCATGAGTTCAACATTAAGAACAATCAATTTAGGGTACCAGTGCCTGTAAATAACAAAAAGCAAATTTCACGGTACTTCAGCCATTTCCACACAGTCGTTATTCACAGCAGGGCCCGATCCCGTTTAAGATAACCTACCTATATCGTAAGCCTGAACCATCGATGAAAAGCATTCTTGCTTCGTTCGAGATTCGCTAATATTATATCCGTTTCCTCCGACCACTATCATCAAACCGTTAAGGATAGTTGCCGTATGTAGGAACAGTTGAACACCAGATGGAGGTAGATTTGCCCTGAAGGACGAAATATATTTACCCGAAAAAAGAGAAAACAAAATTGTTCAGTCAAAACATACCACTTTTCGTGCTTGATGTCGTATCTCATCAAACTGTCAGTGAGATTATTCTGAGTGTTTGACCACATAGTGCCACCGTACACAAGAATTGCATCACCCTAATGAGAAATTGTTTATACAGGCAGTAGAAAACATGGTTTCATTTACTGTTATCCAGCTTACTAACCCTAACATTAGGAAAGAGAAAAAGCAGTCTTTTTGAAATCCCAATTTTATTGCAACTATGAAGGTTGAAGTCAAATTCGGAGGCTCTTACTCACATAGTAGATCTAGCTAAGAATTAGCGACGTACTTGAAAAACATTAAAGCGGAAAAATGCTAAATGAATGGTCTTACAGAGTCCATTTTATAGTGAACAGAAGTGTGGCGGAACCGTCCATAGACCTGATCCTTAGTGTTTCCAAAGCGCCATCTTCCTGTCTCTATAAGTTCGCCAAATATGTTATATGTAAGTTCCTGGCTGTCTCGGGATAGTAGTAATATTCTTACCGAAATTGTAAATTTGGATGTTATGAACGAATCCGATCTCAGGATGATAGCCGAAAATTACGTACATCTCAGACCCAATAACATGAGCAGTATGTCCGGAAACGGCCAAGGGAGGAATCTGCAAAACAAAGAGATTCGTCGTATATTACACCCTTATACACCTAAGAATAAGTTACCGTCAAGTTTCTGTTCTCTCCATTTTCCTGATTCCATTCTTTGGTATGCAAATCAAAACTCCAAAGCTCACTTGTGATGTTCCTCCTATCAATCACGCCACCGTACATGAAGAGCTTGCTCTGCAAACCATATACGCTGATAATACCATTTATTCGGAAATTTGGTAGCTTTACCATCATCTTGCCCCTTTTCATTCGTTACCGAAACTCTTTATCAGAGAACGGAAATGGATCACGGAAATGGATATGGGCCAATGATGCTGGGTGCACCAATTAAAGGCGCAACTCACGATAAAACTAAGACTTTCTCCTACTATAAATCTAAGGCCCCAAGGATAATACAAGGGACATTATCGGACAGAAAATAGCCTGAACGACATAATAAGGACTCTAGAACCGGTTTGGCTGGCGTACGCACCCAAAGGCGCACGCATTATGACTCCTTTGTTGAAGCTGCACATTTACGAGAAGCGTTAGGACGCCGACGAATAGTATGATTAACGCTCACACGGTAACAGACGACGATCTTGTAAAACCCCTTTCTGAGTACTTTTTTGAAACTTATATTTTTCAAAATCAGCCAATTTTCGCACCCTCTTTGCCACTTCTGTGCTTTTTCACACCGTTACTTCACTTGTTCCCCATAAACTAGAAACCTGAGAATTATCGTTAATACTGCCTTTAACTACAGCAGAGGTGTGGTGCTTCAAAACCGTGTCAAACCCCAGACACAGTGATGCAATAATTCAAAAACTCTCCAACTCGTCGACCACTACAACTTGCTGACGTAGGCCCTTCAATGAAGGCACTAAATTCCTCTTACATTTCGAATTTGTATATGGATGGCCCTTATTTGTACTACAAAAGAAAGCTTGGAAGAAAAACTGCTAGAAAATGTACTCCTTACCTTGTAACGCACTAGAGTGTGATCAAACCTTGGACCAGGTTTAACCTTTCCTCCTACCACTACTGATTTCCACGATCGAGATGTTATGTTGAACAAAACAGGATCCTCGAACACTACTCCACTGAAGTGCTCACCACCTAAAAATAAATAAAAATAATTATTAAAAAATCATATTACATTATACAATAACATAATGGGACCAACAACAGACGGTTACCAACATTCGTGATGAAGAGCAAGCGATATTACTATATTATATTCACCAATACTCCTAACTGCAGATAAATTATCGACCTTTTATCAAGGAAAACTTGAAGAATTAAATATCGTCTCTTCAAAAAGCGTTCAATACATATATTTTCGAAATAGGGTCGGTCGTTGTGAATGAATTAAAGTTTCTGCTCATGTATACTATGGAAAGAAAATTGTCTCTCTAAAACTATGAATTGTGATAGTTCAGAATAAACAAAAATCTGAATGAATAAACACGACTAAAAGAACGATCATCTTCACTTTGATAATATGATCTTCATTTTCTTTTCCACTCCTATAGAAAATGAAGAAAACCCTAAGAATAACGAAACAAAGTCCCAATTATATAACCTTATCTACGAAATCTTTGAATCGACAGGAAATTTCATTACTTTTTTATGGTTTGAGTTAGTAATCAGATTTATAATTAGAAGAAAGGAAACCTTCTATAATGCTTACCAATACTCCAGATTACGTCATCAATAAGGACAGAAGCATGTGATGCACGTCCAGCAGGTGCTTTAGGGGTTGTAATACGATCCCATACAGATCGATCGTTCCGCATTTGACATGTATCACCTGGAAACGCACTTTGAGGAATACCGTTGGCAACCCAGTCAATCGCGCCATTAGGTCAATAGATCAAATGAGATCAACTGGTACTACTTGATGATATTGAGTATCCGATATGATTATGGGTTAGCAATCAGGGCTATCCGACAAGACAACAGGGAGATTAAGTGATAGAAGGGACGCGGAGGGTCCGTATTAGGTGAGTACTCAAGGAAGATTCCAAAAAAAAGCTCCCAGGCCATTCACACCCTCGCTGTAATCGTTCTGTTCCATTTAGTTACAAAGCGCTGATAAATGATCAACAAGTATTAAAAAAGCTAAAATTTATAATCTAAAGAAATACCATGATAAGAAGTAGCACAAGAGCAACGAGAATCCTTGCAGACCCCTCCATGTAAACATGGTCCTTGCTTGTCTTCATCCTCTTTTGTACATACACGCACTTCGCAATAATCACCTAGAAAAAAAAAACCAATGAAAAAGATAACTTGAAGTAGGTTGTGGTAGTAGAGGATACCAACCTGTAAAACCATGATCACAGACACATTGGCTATTTTGACAAGACCCATGAGAGTTGCAATTATAAGGACATCTGGAACAGTGATACTTCTGGGCTCATTCAAAATGTATTATGCAGCTGTAAGAACAAGTAACCGTCATTATTAGCATAGTTCCTATGCCTAGTCGCATGCGATCTACTATTCAATCCTTCTACGCCCAAAGAATGTAGAAGACCATTTCACGAGTCGGGGATCACTTAGATTTATAGGGTTCGGCTCTCTTGAGCCAACGAAGACTTCGAAAACCTTCACGACCCTAAGCAGGTTACCGTGCAACGCAATTTGGGACAGAATTCTCAAAAGCGAACGATTCCATGGCTTCGTGGGAACATTCAGATCATGAAAAACACTATCTTGCTTTATTTCTGCACAGCTCGTTGTGACAGTGCATGGAGACTTGTCAAAATAATAGCAATTCTATTTTGACAAGTTCACTGTGTTTGCACCTGAGAGTACAGAGTGCACTTGACTGTACAAGTATCCTTGAAATATGGCAGCTTTGGAACGCAAAAATATTCGAAAATGAATTCTGCCGTTATCGGAGGAAAAAACCAACCTTTCGAACTCGTAAGTGATGTTGAACCCGCTTAAATTCATCGCCAAATCGCTGAAGAAATAAATTAGTGCTTTACCAGATGGTGCGCTCAGCTCTTGCACTTCTTGTTCCCCACTGAAAAAAAGCTTCAATTATACTACGAAAATACCACAATATTCCCAATATTGCAGCAACGCTTTCTGAATACAGAGAAGTCCACAAAATGTCTTACCAAAAGGCTGCAAGCTGTTCGCCATATACACCATCGCCATCGTAGATATACACAAAATCCCAACCACATTCAGTTTGAAAATTTTCAAGCCGTATGTTTAAGGGAGCTCCAACCTTCTGCATTGGGAAAAGAATTTACAATTGCAGGTCATAAAATGTTCATAACGGTAGATATACCTTTTCGCTCTCAATTAACCATGTGCATTTTGAAGAAGGACTGTAGTCGAGGGGGCCATCAATAAGATGACTATGATTTTCGGTTACTCTGAAATAAAATAAAAAATGGAAAAGATGGGATGCAACAACAGGTTTTTCATGTCGTGCTCATGAGCTGTCATATTATTATTATTTATTATATTATATTATTATTATTTAGTATTCATCTGAAGAGATAATTGAATTCACTAAGATAATTGCGATTTCTTGCTCAATCAAATGATTCAGTCGACTAGAATTCCCAGCCACATTTATTCCAACCACCAACATTCAAAGTCTTAATTTTTTCCTATCAAATAGTAGCACACTTCTTTCAACAAAACAAGTAACACCCTTTACCGCATACACGCTAGCTATTTTACCACTTTTTTTNTTTTTTTCACTACAGAGTGCTCTATTCTAGAAAAACTTAGTTAAGCTTTTTGAAGCATGTTTTACTTGCTGTTAATTGCACAATTGTATAAGGAGAGACCTCTCAGTAGGGTGTCTCACTTACAATGAACCTTGCAAATAACTCACTTTATGCGTCCGTAACAGTGATCGCATTGACTTCCAACCCATCCCTTCGAGCATACACAGGAACCATTTAAACATACACCATTATAACAATGTCGATCACAAGAAGTCGATAAGGACTGAAAAATGTAGTTTAAGATGAGATGGGAATCATTTAATCAGTTCTCCGTGTACGACTTCTCTTAGTCTAAACAAATCCAACGCCCTTCCCGTATTCAAGAAGACTCATACTCGGGCATGCCCCCTTTTTGGTAGCATTGGGTGTGGCGACTTTTCAGCGATAATCAGAAAACGAGGGCAAAAACCTCCACTGCTCAAATATAGGCAGACCCTGTAGGGTCTACACGGAAACAAAACGTATTTGATTCTGTCATTGAGGTACCAAACCTTCTTAGAGTGTAAAAAAAGTAGTTGAATAATGCGGAACTTCGTAAAGGAGGAAATAGAATCGAATTGTTAATTTTACTAGAGAAAATATTTCTCGAATGCGTATGGGTCAAATAATCAGATCAATTGTACAGGTTTTGTTCCAATTCAACTTAGCATAACCTGGTTCGGCTTTCACAAAAACTCCACACGTATGTACTCTGCAACCTGTTGTGTGAACATGGTGATGTAATTTTTGATTAAATCCTATTTAGATTCCCTATGTATATGTATTGATACATCCATCCCAAGGGGCAGCTTCCACTGACATCATATATTGTTATTGCCGATTATGGACAATGAATATTCCTGCATTTTGAATCACGTTGATGTATTAATGCAACCACTGCAAATATTTAGGCCGGCATAATGGACGGGCCTAATGACACTACCAGTCATACAGTACTTTTTGCCTTTTGTGCCGTTAACAGGACTATGACACACATTCATATAATACCGTATAATTATCAATGTGTCTCTATGGTTGCCAGTTGACCGAAGATTTTGAATATAAGATTGTGCTGGTGAAATCGTGTATCGTTAGGCTTTGACTCAAAGAACTACCTTCTAAAGGCCTCCTGGGAATAATGGGAACTAGTCTAGTAGATCGGGGGCTAGGCCGAACAAGTAACGAATCATGTTTTTCAAATTTATAAAACACAACCGCTAAAAGGGACTCGTTGTGATGGGCACCACCACAGTTCAGCGGCAGTTCCAGAAAGTACGGGGCACTCTCCAATTTGAGGGCTGTGAAGCACGCTTCCACAGCCCACATGCAGGATGGCCCAGGGATGCCTTTATGTTCCGGCTGATGGCCCATTCAATTCCATGGCAACATTTCACATGGGAAACATCACTCTGCGCTTCCTAGGACTTGAGCTTTATTCCTTTCTTGGCTAAAATCCCCTTGGAAAAAGTTTTTTCCCAAAGTGGATTGACAACGGCCATTCATCAAGAGAGCTTCTTTCAATCTGAACCATTGTCCAATTGAAAACCCACAAAGGAAGACAAATGAAAAGGGATGAGTGTCCTCGCACTATTAACAAAGACCTCCTCATGGAGGAATGAAAAGTATTAGCGGAAGGGGAACAATGTGAAGAAGAGTCCCTTAAGAGCGTATTTGAAACGGCAAAGCCATTAATCCCCAATCGCCTTAAACCACTTATTGAACAGAGGATATCCTTTAAAGAAAAATCGGTTCAAAAACTGTATTTCGAGAAACAGGATCAATTCTTCATTTTGAATTTCATTCTTAGTGAACCATTACGGGGACTCTATATAGCTCACATCAAAGCTGTGCCAGTATTCCCAGTAGAATAAATCGTGAGATGTGAGGCAATAAAATCTCCTTTGCCTGAAACGATCCTTTGGGGAGAAACCACTTGAAAAACAATTCAAACGGGTTTTCGACCACAATCCTTGGGCCGAGCAAAACAACTCATGAATAACTAACTATTGGCTATTTCTAAGAAAAACCCGGAGAGTTGCAGAAACCAATAGATTTGCATAAACATGTATTCCCAAACTGTTAAAGAACAGTTCATACCGTAAAAATGAATGGGGAACTGTCATATTGAACGACGGTTTCGCTAAAATTTGAAATCGATGATATTTCTTAAAGCTAGCCTTACTTTTATAAAAAAAACGGGAGAATGTAAGGCATGACATAAAAAGCGAGAGCACGTGTGCGGCTATTAACGCTCGTTAAGTGTCTGATAACTTCATTGATTATAAAAAATAGATGACCCAGCTGAAGCGAAATTACTCCCACTACAGTACTAGTATGTGGGTAAAACCGCTGGAGTTGCGTCAGGTATCTTTAACGAATCCCACCTTCTCCAGATCGAAGTTTGCTTGATTGGCAATCACTAATAATGGAATTAACAGCGACGTGAACACGATGTGTGGCCATTGAGAAGGGAATGGGTTGATCCCACGACGAACGAATAACATCACTCACACATTGAGAACTGTCTGAAATTTTGTAAAAAATCAAAAAAAGAAATCCCATTGAAATTACTAGTTCTGGAAACGATTTGTTGACTGAGAAGAACAAACAGCAAAAAAAGAGATTATAAGATGTAAATAAGAGGAACATAATAAACAATCACGATGAAAGGCGTATGTGATACATAAAACTAGGGTGACATTGCCTAGAATGTATGAATCAGCCAGAAGAAAAACATTCCACGAAATGAACAAAGAAGTAGTAAGTCCATTGTATTGCTGTTTCATGCGACGCCACTCCCAGGACTATCCTTAGAGAAAGGGCAGAAACCATTAAAAATACTATAAACACAAATAAGGATTGTTGAACATGCAATGCGGAATGTCAGTGACCGTTAATGGCTCTTAAGCGGGTGCGTCGCAGCCTTAGCTTTGAAGCGCGTTATCTTCACCGCTGAACTGGGTAATCGAGCGCCAGAAATCTTCAAATACAACTCAGAATTATTTAGTATTTCTAAGAAAAGTCATGTATAGAAGATTCAAAATCCCAAATGTTCTAGCTGACGATAAAATCAGGCATGGATTTCTAAAAAACCATAGCCAATTCGAACGAGAGCATGGCCAAACAGCGGTATAATCTGGGCTCTGTCCAACATGCTTGATTTGCATGTCGATCATCTCGTTAGCGCTGGTTTGCAGCCGCTGTTTGTTAAAAACTAGAGAGAAATAAGTCCGCTTTTGAAAAAAGGTTTCCTGTTGCGAACGTCACCAACGCCATTTGATTAGGAGGACATTCACCACATTCCGGGAATCTCTTCTGGTAGGATGCTTCGAAACCGAAGAACGCCTCAGCCACAAATAAGTTAGGAAACAGAAAGTGTTATGACAACGATTTCGACCTACTTCATCAACTCTAATTTGGGCTGCGGCTTTTGTGGATTTCATTTTGATTGCTTTTCATTCGACTAACTTTTCAAAGACATTTTTCAGTTGTAGGGGTGATAGCTCGCTCTCCCAAATGGGGTCAGTGAAGGATATCTTAGCAATCCGTCCGTTTCTGACAATGTTTGATTAAGAATTGAGAATATCTGAGCAGGAATTTTCACCAAACAAATGAAAACAAAAAGTGAAATGTCGTGAGAACAAACATTCACAACTAGCCACAGGCACCAAGCCCAAAATCAACAGCTCCTAACAGGCACAATTTGAAGATAAAGCGCTCCAATCGATCGCGATTATGCGGCCGCTTAAGAAGCGTTCATGCCCACATTGCTATTGAAGCTCTTGTAAATCAAGGCACGTGGCCTTCTCTGTACACTCGGTTATCTAGACCTCTAGCTAATGAGTTTACCACAAAAAACCTCTCGTGCGTTTATAACTTCAGAGTTAATACCTCAGGAAAAGGTTATGTGTACATAAGCATGGATGGAGTCGTTCTGGAAGGATCACTTCGGCATGAAACGAAGCGTAAAGCCGGTTTTACGGATTGGAAAATCTAATATTGGTTAGTTAGTAAGAGTGATACTGTAAAGTTAAGAAACCCGCCCAAACCACTTAACTTCAATAGTATGAAAGTAGACCATGCAGTGTAATTGATGGGATGCCTGGCACAGCTGGCTCTGGAACATACGCCGCGTCGCCGCGCAGCCGGCCGCGCACCCATAAGTGGACCAACTTGAAATTGGTTATCTGGAGATAACTAGTACTTCGTTTTCTGCGTCCGATCAATCAGCAGATGGATTGGTAGGCTGATTCAACATCTACCTGAGCAGGTCAAATTACTTTTAAAATGATTTTGAAACTCGCAATTAGCCTGAGTGCGGAGGTGATGTAGTGGCAAGTGGCGCGCTATCACACAGGGAAGGTCACGGGTTCAAACCTCAGGTCAATATCCGCCTTGGCCAACAAAGCCTTCCATCCTCTTGTGTCGGTTAATTGGTACCAGACTTGTCTGGGAGAATAGAAACACTGACTTATACATTAGCTGGCCACCGCAAGTCATTGTGTAGGCCACATACACATACAATACGCCACTACAATCCTGGTTGGATGTGGGGCGCATCCCATAGACGAATTGATCAAACCCCCGAAGACTATCTGAGTTTCTATTGCTTTGTACAAATGTCCTGAAGGCAACAGACCTCACTGAAGGCATTTCGGCCGTTATGGGGGTTGGAAGAGGAGGGAGGGAGTATTGGGAACAGATGTTGAAGGTGATACTCTCAACAGTCTCACCCCAACCCCTGTAGGTGAACTGGATTATCCTTTAGTCTTAGTAGTCCCTATAGTCTTACCTAAACTTACTGTTGAACACTATTTAGAAAATTGAAAACTGTTAAAATAGATTGATAGAAAATAATGCCAGTGAAATGTTGTCAACTGGCAGTTGAATAATCAAACTAGCCTTTCTCCGCATCGGGTACCATCCACTGCCAGCTGCCCACTACCCCTCCTGTCCCCTCCCCACACCACCTCACTCCTTGGATGACGGCAGCAATCCTCGATTGTAATTCGATATTTTAAATCATCCTTGACCTTTAGTTTCCAGAAAGACTGTTGGATGGTGATGGTGCACTGGGCAGATGGCGCACTGTCGCACAGGCATGGGCCAGGAATCGAATCCCGGATCGATATCCGCCCCATCTAAGCGGGCTTACCATCCAGACAGGGTCTGTTATTCGTACCAGAATCGTCTGGGAGAGTAAAAGCTCTGATTTGTATGACTTGTACATCGGCTACCCACGGCGAATCATTGTATAGAACGCGTACAAAGCCATTATGTCACGACGATTCTGAACGGAAGTCAAAAGCAGGGCGCACACTAAAAAACAAGATGATTGAAGCCGAAAACTTTATACGTTTGTCCTTCAGTAGTTACATCGTTGGAGTAAAATTTCATCTCTTTCCAGCTGGTTTGGGCTGGCGTGACTCACAGGAAGCAATTTGTGTACTGACGGAAGGGGAGCTCTTATGTGTCATCGCTCTCGACGTTCAACTCCTTGCTCCAACTTCTTATCTCGATACTGTCTATCACGAAGCTAGACAGAGCCTATACTACTAGTAACGCCATTAGTAATACTTTCCTTGCTACTAACCGGAAGAACCTTGTCAGTGCGATTCATTAAATGAAAAATATCTTGCATTACAAACATATTAAAAGTTTATTTGAAGAAGAAATTGAACAGTGAAAAACTTGTATAAATTTGAGAACAATTAACTACTGTGGTCGAGGAGTAACCGGCAGGTAACGCTGAAGTGGTGGTTGTATTTCTTCGGGGCCTCCATAGTTGAGGTCCCACCCAAGGAGGCACTCAGTGGAGCTGAAAGGTTCAGTTTTAAAAACGCTGTTCCAAGTAGAACACCTCAGTATTGGACAGAGCTATGGAGGAAACAAAAAGTGCCAAGAATCTATGCCTATTTCCAATGGAAAAAATTGGGCTCAAAAAACACGACCAAAGAAGGGAAAAGGCAAATTCAGCAAACTACGGGTTTTTTGTGATACAGTAATCGTATATGTAGATCAGACAATAAAAGGAAGAGACACCAGGCGACTATAGAAAACCTGTCAAATATACGGCGCTCCAAAAAGGATAACGGGCAATGACTCATCACCGTACATCATGCCATAGCCACGACACGCAGATTGCATTACTGTATTACAAAAGCCCCTGGCCTCAAAAAATGACTGATAAGCCATGGTTGGAGAAAGATGACTAAATAGACGGTAGCCGAAATAGACAGAACAATGAACAACTGGGTAATATGGACATTGCACTAGGCAGCAAAACAGTGATGCCACTTGCAATCAAATGAGTAAGTACAAATGATGACTAACAATATGGAATGGCAGCTAGTTACACTTTGTTGCTTTTGAAGACGAAAAACGAAGCTAAATCAACAGAAAAGGGATGTATCATTGTTCCCATATCGTAGATTCCTCGCCCTAATAAAGCCGCGTTCGCTGCACGCGATGCGCGTAAGGGCGGTTACTCTAGTTGTGGTCTTGGACACAGCAACGCTGCCACAGTAACTGGTAAATCCTTACCTTATCCTCCGATACTTAAATAGTCAAAATGGTTAATCCAAGTACTCTTTAGGAGAGTATGGTAGGTTGCTATGATTTCAATCAATATCGGCTATAACTTCCGATGTATTGGAATCCTACCGCGGTCGTTTTATGGTTTCTCAATGCCTTTCGTCTTTTAATTTCTGCTGGTGTGATTGTTTTAAAATGTCACCTGGTTGAGCGTTATTAAAAATTTTGTTTACAATTCTGTTGACTCATCCAGCTAATGTGGACGCAATTTAGGTTCTAATCGATTTATACTTTGACGTTACTCTCCAGGTGATCTTTGCAACCTCTTCCTAAAAGGCTTTTCAAATTTCATGCTGGTCCCCCTTTTTTGCAAAAGGTTCCAGTTCCCTTTCAACACGATGCACTCTATTAGCTTTCTTTTGTCTACGTGCATATTGCTCGTCATTCCGTTTCACGAGCCTTTTTAGTTCCTTCTTTCTAGCAATGGGCGTCGATTGTCGCCATGACTCATAATGTCCGCACTGATTTCGTAACCCACAGAACTCTATTTGCGGTAGAAGGTTTAGCATCACGTTTGAACAGCAGTTGTTTCATGTGTTCGTGCAATTTGATCCGTATTACAAGTTTTGTACTAGTACGGATAGTGTTTCACATGTGTTTATTCCAGAGAGGCGCGGTGGCGTACATGCGGAATGCTGAAATTTTTTCTTCAAAAATCGAGCCCAGAAGTGCATGAAGATGTTGTGTCTGATTATCTAGACTATCGTCAGGTTGTCTACTACTCTACTACTTACATTCTGTTATCATTTTTGGTCTCAAGCCTGAGTTATTTTCCAATTTTAAGTAATTATGGAAGTATATCTACATTCTTATAGACAGTTCGTCATGGGTTTCCCTCTCGTATATCATGCTTCGCCTATGACGATGTGCTAAAAATTCTTGCAGTGGGAAATCACGACGGCGACTTGAATATGTGAGTTCTAATGTTTTTTGTCTGACAACTTTGGTTATGTAGAAGTCAGTATGAACTTGTAGGGAACATAGACTAAGGCAAGAAGTTTTTTCGTCAATTTTTAACAACCTTAATTAAATTCTCCGGCTGGGAAGAAAAGAATGTTTGTCAGCTGAGGCACTCACAGGGCTGCAGCTGTGCGTGTTATGATTTAACATCCTTTTTCATCCTTAGCCGAGAGCATACCGCTGCATAGAGCCAATGGCATACTTAGCTATCTGCAGTTTTTTTTATCTTCCTGTAAACCCCAATTAAACAAGTGTGGTAGTGTTTTAGGTACTAATGGGTACTTAGCATTATCAGACTCCCATCTGTAAAAATTTTTTGACATGCGCACAGCCAAGTGTGCTAACATCCACATCGCCACCTTTGAAGGTTCATTTTCGAGAGTTCCCAGAAACTGAAGGAGAGGAGCACTGGAAAGAGAATTCATTATCCGTCAGGGTGGGGATGGAATATGTAAAAAAGTTGACAGATTTTTTGAATTCTCATAAGTCGTTGCAGTAAAAGTGTTATTACCTTTCGGATGTTTAAAGTAATTCTTATTTTTTTTTCTCAGATATGGAGGCGGTGGATTCATATGGACGGCTGAAATTCCGGGCAAAAAAAGCTTTGGTAAAAGTGCTGCTCATATGTATTTCGCTTGTGGTCTTGGAGTTTTAATAGTTTTATGCCGAGATTCTACATTTGTACGATTTTCAATCAAAGGTATGCGTTTAAGACGTTATATTTCTATTCCTTTGTGTAATTAATTATCTCAAGGTGCTGAATTAACTGCTCGATCTGTTCTGCATGAAACGAGGTTGAAGAAGATCACCAGTTGCTGTATGCTCCAACGACCCAATGCCCACGAGTCTGTGCTCCTTATAGGTATGCCTATCTGTGTTTTCGGTTCATGTTAATCAATTTGCTTTTTCATTGCGATAAAAGACCGTGACGGATCCGTGCGTCACCATGTTGATTCTCAAATGCGCTCCTTTTCCTTTGATAGTGTAATTGTTTCATTTTTAGTGCAAATTAGATAAGGCGCTAAGACCAATTCAAGGTGGAAAATTGTTCAATGATCGCTTTGTCATCATTGTGTACCTAGTCCCAATGTCGGAAATTTGCTCCCCAGCTTTATGACGGGTTGATGACCATTATATCGTAGATTTACGATAGTGGATTTGGATTTATTATCAGAAAAAAGTTATCATAAATCTGCATTGCTCGAGAACAGCGAGTAGGAGTTTGCAAGGAGACTGATTTTTCTTAAAATTACTTCATAGCGATGGGTCGTATTTCTTCGTTTTAGGCACCGTGTCTGGAAATGTTTTCGCGTTGGATATCAATTCGCTGGAACTCTCAGAATACATCGTTTTCGAGGATTGTTTGCTACAAAGGTAATTCATTAGTTACCTGAGTTTTGTACTAATCGTATTCTACCGTCTTATCCGCTACAGAATTCCGGAGAGTTCAAAGCAAGAAAAATATCCTGTCGACTTGTTGTCTCTGTGTCCAACTAATCCAAGGCTTACAATAATGGTGTTAAATCATTGCCTACTTCTTTCGTATGATTCGTCAACTAATGAAGTACTGGGGACCAATTTTTTCGACGTTCAGTGCAAGGTAGTTTCTAATACTTTCTTTTTTGTATATTGTATATATCATGAGCACGTCGTAATATCTTGCCAATCCCCCGAACTGAATTCATTTAAGGCAACAGTGTAACTGTACAGAACTGAATTTTTTAGTCCGTCACACTGCGCTCTTATCCACCTCGTTACCTTTTGTTAGAGAAACTTTTTCGACAGAACCTTTCTAGCGCAGACTCTTTGCTCTTTTTGCCCTTTGAACCGTGACCCTTTGAATGGCTGGCGCGTTTTCAGAAGATACAAAAAAGGAAAGGAAACATGGTAGCGGTGGAAGACTTTGTGTTTACTAACATGACTAACAGCGTATTTCTTGTGAGCGTTTCTTGTATACTCCTCTTTTGCTACAATTTGTCAATTTTGCCCTTTCAGCTGCTGTGAATTGCAGCTATCAGAAGATAGTCATTGACATGTGGGTATGGCTTGTTCTTTGAGGTTATTTCATTAGTGGGAGAACAGGAGAAGGAGAACATTAGTAGTCCACAAAAGATGAAGAATCAGTAGTATGATGATTGCGTTGAGGGAAATCAAACATTCAACTTACTTGCCACTTGTTACCATTACAACACAAACAAACACAAAATATATCAGTATATGGTACATACTAATGTATTCGTTTATTATTATTATTTGTTCGTCTTGTTATTCTCCGTGTATATTACATTACTTTACTTAATGGAGCTCCATTTTCTTCTTTTCATCAAAGGCACCATACCCACATTTTGCTTTTTGGGTTATTTTCTAATTCAAATACAGTTATTAGAAATTTAATGGTTCATGTTATACAATTACTCCATAGTATTCTGCTTTATTACACTTATTTATATGCTTTTATTGTTCGCAGTTTTTAAATCACACCTCTCTGCGTTCCCGAAAGGCTACTCTTGAATCAGAATGTCGCAATTATCTTTTATTTTGTAAGCTCATTGCACAAAGTACCTCCAGTTTTTTGCCTTCAAGAAGTAAAAAGCTGGGTGAACCGTGCGTTTTGTTCAGAATATCACTTGGACTCGAGATGGAAGCCGTTTCATACTTGCCCTCCATGATGGAACATATGCTTGTTGCGATCCATGTAATGCCTCAATATGCGAGCGACCACCACAGGTTTTTGGGCCATTCCCATGTACACCAGCGAAAAAAGCATTTTTTGCTGAAATATCCAGGTAAATTTTGATTCGTTTTTAGGACATTGGGCAGTATACGGAAGACCTTTTCATCGTATTTCAGCTCGGATGAGCGCATAGTGCTATTTTCTGGTGGTATGCCTCATGCATCCTATGGTGATAGATTTGTCGTTACTGCTCGACAGGGTAGCCGAACATGTGTTTTCGATTTTGCTAGTCCTGTCATCGATTTTCTGCTAACGACAGGAGGTGAGTTTGATCTTACTGGTCCAGTTTTGTGTAAGCCATTTTGTGAAATTCCTCGCCTCATTTTGCCCCACATGTTTCCTATTTCTTTTCACCAATGTTATTAAGATGATGGTTATCATACATGTGCTCTTGTGCTCACCGAGAACGAACTTGTTTGCATTGATTTGAGGGACCGCTACTGGAGGGTAATTCCTACCGAGCAGATTTTCCCCTTACATGCTAGTCAGGTAAGCAGATTTTTTTAAAAATTTGGCCGTGATCAGTTCTGAGAAATAAGGCATCGTGGGACCAATAGCTTGCCATGAAGGTGTCATTGAGTGGTTTCGTTGGCTATATGGGTCTAGATCGAAATCATTCGTCCACTCATGGAGTCTGTTTAAGTCTATGAACACCCTGATTTGAGAATGAAGACCTATTTTTGTGTGCAGCCATCAATTAAGTTCTTCAGATAACTACATCTACTCATTGTTCCCACGTAGAAAAGCATGTTTGGTCCAAATTAAATAAGGTGAGTGCAAAGATGAATCACTTTTTTGTACACGGCCGCTAATTGCCCCAAACTATTTTAGCTGTCTGTCGAAGAGATTCGTCGAAACAGCAAATTTTCTGGCGGTACTTGGCCTCTGAATGCAAAAATCCCTGCATCGGACGAATCTCGCGTCGTGAAGGAAGCTACAAAACGTCAATTGTACTTGACGGGGTTGGTTATGTGGCTTGTACAGCTGTTAAAATAGCCTTTTCTCCTGGTACACTACTTTATCTCCACTACTAGTACTTTACTCGGGAAAATGCATTATATGAGGTACCTACTAATTGGTTACTATTGAATAAAGTTAGATATGTTGTTGTAACTGTAGGAATATGAGAAGAGAAGGTGGGTGGGTGAGATTCTTCCTAAGTACCATTAGGCTTTTTGCAGCCTAAGACGGTCTCGAGACCTGCTGCGCTACTGCTTTCGTAGTTCTTATTTTATCCAATCATTTCACTTCCAGTAAATGTGGAAGGACGTATTAATTATGAGGCTAAAACTTTCATCGCTTTACAGACATGAAAATGGAACTGTTCGGATTTGGTCAGCTGGCCACTCTATAATGCAACTACTGTTCGTAATTGATACACGGAACGAGTTTTCTGGATTCACCGAAGAGGTATGCTTAAAGTCGCGCGTACATTTTTGGCGTTCTATGATGGGTGTTGATCGGCTGTAGGGTTGAGTGGAATTTATTCGCCCTATCAATTCCTTGAACAGCATTGCGACTGCTTGTTTGCAATTGAACCCTCCTAGTTTTAGGGTTATGGTCCTTTTGCCCTTCTGTTTCAGCAGGGATTATCACTCTACTTCACATTTAAATGAGACGCTACGACTGCATTGATTAGAGGCAATGTTTGTTGTTGATTTTAATGTATATTTTACTTTTTTTGCAGCCAATTGAGGCGACAGACAGCAAAACAATTGATACCGAAACGGACTCTTCCGATGACGATTATCAGATTACGAGCGAATGGCCCCCTTTCAAGAAGGTTCGCTTTTTGTGAACAAAGTTCGCGTTTCCTTTAGCAATAATTTTCCTGTTTTAGGTTGGAGACTATGATCCTTTCTGTGACGATGCAGGTTTATCGGTCCAAAGAGTAGCATTTGACGAGAAATCGGGCCATGTAGTCATTGGATGTAGAGGGGGACATGTTCTTGTTTACTCGATCGAGGAAGACGAAAAGGTTTGTCGACTTTGTCTTTGAAGGGATGTTACGTTTGAAAATGATTTAGCTATCACAGATGTGGACCTTGGCGTCTTTTAGGAATTGACTCCTCAAATATTGAATGTGGAGTTGTACGAGTCGTCCAAGTTACCTGCCCCTGCTCGAAATAGTGAGGCGTTACCTGCTCGTGCCACTCCCAGAAAATACCTTCCAGGATATCAACCGTACCCCTTATCCGTCCAGAACAAGAGGTTCAGTTGCTTTCCAGTCCTTTACTCTTTGTCAATGTGGTATTTAATTTGTAGAGTTGTAGTGTGCTAGTGCAACTACGACCAGCTCATGCCGTATCGGCAGTGGCTAGTTTATCCTCACGACATCTATTCGCAGCTGCCAATGAGTATGGTTTTGCTGTCATAGACATGAATAAGCAATCAGTTGTACTTCAGAACACTTTTGTAAACCAATCAGGTTCGTTCAATATATTCGAAATACAATTACATGCACTCCAAGCGAACGAGCAGTTTTTAATAGACGATTCTAATATCCTACGCCGTTCAATTCGCACATCGTTACGGTCGTTCACATGATAGTTGAGGATATGAAAGAAAGTATTGAACAATCAGTAACTGGTTTTCTCCGAAAAAGGCCGTTTCCCATCGGAACGGGCTGCGCAGTAGGGGTAGGGGAAGGGGGAGGGGGGATTGCGCATGTCTCCTGCCGTTCATACCAAATATTGCACCTCGATTTTTCAGCACTTGATCCGCAACGAAATATGGCTGGGTTGAAAGCATGAAATTTGCATGTCATTGTCGTGGAATTTACAATTGTGAGGCTTAATCACTTGTGATGCAGATATACATCACGTTGGAGCATTTGACGATGCCTTATCGCGGTTCAAAAGTATGAAGAAATCCATTCGACAAACATTCCGGCGAAAAAAGAAAACACCAGTCGCTTCTCTGGATAATACAATTGTAAGACAACATCATGTGATTTTAGGTTTACAGGTCATCTCTACTTTGACTAAACTAATGATTGATTCTCAGGGTACAATGAACAGTGAGTCGTCGACGAAGGAAACCTCTGGTCACAACATCTCGAAAGTCTTTAGCGATACCGAGGATGATGAAGTGATAGTAACGAAACCGGTAGAACGCCTCATTGAGGAGAGGGGAGCGTGCCCATGTACGTTTTCAAATTACAAATGATTTTTAATTTTCCCGGTTAACTTTGCTGTTGCTAGCGGCGCTGGCAAATCAATCCCTCGTTTTCTCTGAAAGCCGCCTCGTTTTTCTTGAAAAACTTACTAGTTTGAGCGGTTGTAAAGCTTTCTTTCTTCTTTTATCGATTCCCTATAAGATGGCCATCCAATTTTCTGTCAAGTGCGGAGCAGGAGAACAATCAGATGTTCAAAGTTATCAGATTGAATTTCTTCACCATTTCTCGATTAAACGTTGCTCATTTGGGGAGCAAGATGTTCTATTAGGAAGTTATCTGCCAATTTATACAGTGATATTGATGTTCCATTTCGTTTTAGTGGAATCTCCTACATGGTTTATTCGCTGCCTTAAATTCCTTTCCATCCCGGCAATGGGTATAGCAGGGGTAAGTGCTATTTTGTGTTACTTTTTTTGCTCCCTAATCGCTGGCTAATATTTATTGCTTCATTCAGCCGTTTTTGTGGGCTCATTTACGAAATTCCCTCATAGGTGTGTGATGTGTTCGTAGTAGGAACGAATGGTGGGAAACTAGTGATATATACGATCACGGACCAACCACGAGCTGAAGACGCGTGTAAATTGGTGAGTCACTGTTCACTCTGTTATCAGTTACCAGTTTAGCTGGCACAAAAAGCCAGTTACTGAGTCTCCATGGGACTAGCTGTTTCCATTGTTGTAAACCGTTTTCACAAGAGAACAGATTGAAGTTGAAAGAAGAGTTTCAGTTCATTAATCATAATAAAAAGGGCGAGTGAGATTGAAAACAAGTGGGTAATTTACAAGCCAGCGATAGATTCCAAGTCGCTTAAGGTTCGACCCATCTCCAAAAACTGCAGTGACCATTTCAGCCCCATGGTACAGAAGATTATATTGTTAGATGTTGATTTCGAGATGTTTTACTTAGATGTTGATTTCAAAATGTTTTACTTTGGTAGTTATTGTCATTTGCAGCTGAAAACCATAGCATTGCGGCATGCTGCTCCCATAATACATGTGGACGTTATATTGGAACCAGGAACAAGGGTGAGCGGCGTGTTCGTCAACTCATGGTGATCACATTCTAGTAAGAGAATGTCCAACATCTTTTAGCAGGCTTCATCGGCCCGTCTTATAATTTTCACGGAGGAGCAAATACGAAGTTTCTATCTGCCAAGTCTAAAGCCATCGCGGTACAAGGTGAAGCTGACAAGTGTGGAAGGACTACGGATTAGGAAGGCAGCTATAGTTACTCTTCATAATGTGAACGGTAGGAAGACAGAGAAAATGCAATATCGGTGTTGTTGAGAGTGCTTGGTGAATGGCCTCAGTATATTTCAGATCTTTCGAACTGTGAAAGTTTTGCAGCAATTGTAAACAATCATGGCGAGGTGGCTGTTTATTCACTTTCAAATCCTAAAAAGACGGAAAAGTTCTCCGTAGTGAAGGTAAGCGGTCATGATAGCCTTAATAAACTCACCAATGAGAAACACAAATATCTCACACACAGTGCGGCAAATGAAAATTTGGTTCCTTTACATAAATTCCTACGTGTGTGAGCTAGTTGGGAGAGTAATTGGAGTGTACGTTGGAGCCTAGTTTGCGTTTATAGCACCATCTCTGTTGGTANTTTTTTTTTGTATTCTAGACTCGATCTTTGATCTTTGTGTGTTAGAAAGTTTAGTGCTGAAAAGCCTGATCTAACTCCTTTTCGTCTTTGTTGACTTGTTTGTCCTCTCAATCACCATTATGTGAAGTTTTTATTGAGCCGCTGAGAGTAGAAATCTATGAGTTCCCCCAAAGTCAATCTAGTGAGAGCGCTCTTTTCGGGAAGGATGCTTCTTTTCATTATTGGTCTGTTTTCAGAGTACTGACATCGCTGGTATAACGTCAATGATAATAACACCATTCGGTGAGCTGTTCTACCTTAGACAAGGTGGATCAGAGCTGCAACGTGCTACCATATCGGAACATTCGTTACCGTGGACAATACCTGGTCAAGGTAGCAAGTGGCCAGAAGAGATCACTCCACGTGAGACGACGTAATATCTCACGAGCAAGGTTTCCTTTGTTGCTGTTCTGGAAACCATGTGTGGGGTTGAGCGTTACAATCGCAGTTTTATTAGGCGAAGCACATAATCGAAATGTCATACTGGTTGTCCTTTTCAAGCACTGTAGCGTACTAGACAACTATGTGCCTGATGATTCAGCGAAAGGGCACACTCGATTTCCCCTAGCCGTTCTCCTTTTTTTGTCTACCTTCGATCTCTTCGGTGTAGCAAAGAGTGTGTGTATTGATTGATTTCATGCATTTATTTATCTTTGGAAAAGTACACCATTTTCCAGTCATGCTGCTTTACTTTTACAGTCGAAATCGAACTACTGCGATATTCTTGTCTTTTGTTTCCTGAGCTCTATTTTGGTAGAACCAGTTCGTGCGGCTCCTCTTCTACCTTTTTGTTACTTTGGATTTTCAGTCATTTTATAAATGAATTAGAGGGAAAGTAATAGCCTCTCAAATGAATCAATATTGGAGCACGCAACATGTGACGGGATGGCGTCACAGTTTTGGATCCAGGGATGGGCATTCCCGTGAAGGAAATGCCTTATGGAGGGGCAGTTCATCGCGGTTACCACGGTCGTAAATTATTGTCTTTTTGCTGCGGACGCGCGCGGCATATGACAAATATGCAGGTCCAGGAAACTGGACCAAATGACCTTCTTCACTGAAGATGTTGGCAGAGTCCATTAGGTGAGAGGAGGGGCAACACGCATAGAAAGCGCTTTTTTCTAGATTTTACTTTATTTACTGTGCATGTGATAATCAGTGTCACTGTCATTCTTCTCAATGTTCACTTTGGTTTACAAAAAGCAAGCTGTAGCCACACGATTTTGCGTCCCCATTTTTTGAAATATGGCGTGAAATTCCGTGTTGGAAACGGGTATTCAATGCTACCATGTTCTGGCACTTGGATATTTTTGTTAGCGGTGATATCATTCAATTGTGTAATAATAGTTTTTTCTTCTGCTGTAAAACGGCACTCATAACTATTTCATTTTTAGCTGTAGCCCACCTTACAGAGTGAAAATCTCATGTTCGCAGCTATTTCGTTACTTCTGCTAAAGTTGTTTCTTGTTTACTCTCATACTATGCCTTTTTACTGGCAGGTAAACTTTGCATTGTTGTCATAGTAGAAGTTATTGATGTGACTTTTACCAATTTTATTTGTTTTTAAGTATAGAATTGATGAGCATGTATGTATACTCATATCCTTCCAGTTTGGCTTATGATTTTCATGAGTTCAACATGATCAAGTACCCACTTATATGTCTACGGTATACATGATGTTTCTCTTACAATGAAATTGTGATCTAAATTGTCAAAGGCCAAAGCTATGATAAATAAATTGTAATTCTATCGAGGTTCTGTTCTATTTCGAAGTGTTACAGTAGATGCAAATGCGTGTCAAAATAATGGCAGTCTTCAAGAAAAGTTCGTAAGATCTATGCTTTTCCAGGAAGAATACAGAGTTTCAAAGGGTTCTTAAGAACTTTCCTAGTGGCATAAGCTGTTGCGATGATTTTGAAGCCGCTACTACTACGAATGCTACAGAGAGTTATTTGACTTCTAAAGGTGAGGAGCAGAGTAGAAAATGAGTAGTAAAACCTACTGGAGGGTTCAATAAAGAGTATAACCTGAAAAATAACGCTAACCGGGGAGGGTCTAATGATCAAAAGCGTATGCCATACGTTGGAATAGTTCGCCTGTGATCAAGAAATGACCTCGGACTTAACAATCATTTCGTCGCTGAAACCTTGTTATTCGAGCGCTCAAATGGCGGAGGAGTTGGTGCACTTATCACGCGCGTTAGCGCGATACCAATCTCGGCTAAACACCCGCGGTCTGAAGGCTGAATCGGCTGGTTACTCCAAATCATTGTAAAGTTCACATACGCTTTCCAAACCCCACTACGATCCTGAATGTAAGTCGATTGCAAAGGCGCATTTCAAGAATGGTATCAAACAACAGCAAAACACTTTATAGCATCAAATTTGATTGAAAAATAAGCAATTAAGTGAACTGCATTTTGTTCTGATAAAAGCGGATCACATTTTGTATTATGGCGAGTTGAAGTTGACTGGACGTGGAGCAACAGCTGCTACTTTTTGTCCCATATATCGTTCAAGGAACTCGGAGTGCTTCTTCAGGACGTTGCCCACACTTTCTTGCCTATCGAATTGAAACCTTTCAGTATCAGTAACAAGTGAAGCTATATCAACAACAACTCGTCAACAACAAGCACTAAGTAAACTTCATCTCTAGGTCGATATGTACTATGTACATCAATGTATGATCACGACATGCCAGGATTATGGAGGTCAAGTCAATCGCTTCCCGCCGAACTCTCCTTTTGTGGGGTATTGCTCTTCAGTCAGCTATCGTCCCACGAGGTCCTTTCCCTCTGGACAGTGGTCAAGTGGCTTCTAACTGCACCATGGACACTGACTTCAGTGGAATGGACACTGACTTCAGTTGATGCAATGTTAAAAATAACGACTACAATGGTAATCGCAGGTATGGCCGGCTATCTTGGACAGGGAGATAAAGGTAAGCAGCATTCATAAGAACATTTTTACGCATGTCGAGAGCTGTGACCTTTTTATTTGAAAACAATTTCAACCGATTTTTGACAGTGGTCATTTAATTCAATTAATTTATAATTTTATTGAGTGCCGTTCACTATTCTGTATTCTTCTTTATCATACAGCACAACGAAATTTACAGATTCAGTTACTAGCATGGTTTCATTTACTGCGCAAGCTCTTTTAAGTGGTAAGTGCGTAGGATAAATAGGATGGTGCGACGAGGACGGGGTGCCTAAGGTATGGCAAGAAGACGTTCTTGTATTGTCCACTGTACGGCGATAAGAAGATTGTAAAAGTAAATGTCAGGATTTACCTCTCTATAGTTGGCCCCTTCAGAGTCGGCTCTTCATGAGGATGGTCAAATCGCTTCCGAATCCGTCAGTGGGCCGACTCAGTATGTTGAGAGTATTTACGGTATCACGTGGATACACTCAAATCAGAAGGAAGAGACTATTTGGGAACCTGTATCTCCACCTGTGTATTGTAAGGCATGGGGTTTCCTTTTCTTGAGGGCCATTAGCCATTTACAAGGGACTTCCAGGGTTTCGCTCACGGTTTCTTACGCAGAGAATCTGACCGGGTCCTCGAATCAATCAACGCCTTTAGATGATTCTAGAACAGTAATGGTTCCGTACCTTCGAGAAAATTCCTGGTCATTGTAAGCTGTGATGAGATCGGGATCAGGACCGACTGCGGGCTTACTCTGAGAGGTTTCTCGATTCTGAAAAAACCATCTTATAGGTAAATTCCAATGCTTACTCTATGATTAAGTTATTCCTCTGAAGTAGTATAAAGAAATTATGACTCACGACGTTTTGTAAAATATGAGACTCAGTCTGTGATAGCTGATTACGGAGATTTTCCATTTTTAAGCATTCCTCCATCAGGGAAATTTCCAATTCTTGCAACTAGAGTGACGTATTTACCATTTTGCCATTAGGTCAGTAAACAATATGTCAACAGATCAACAAAAAATTGCCAACAAGTATTTTGCTACATACCTGCCTGGTCTTCAATTCATAATGCTTCCTCAGCTTCTCGATTTGAGTCTCGGCTGCCAAAATGTTGTCCGCTCTTTGCTGCAGCTCAGCGGCCTCTTCCTTCAGCCTTCGTACATCCACAGAACGTTTCCTATAATTTTTTTTATAACATCCAATTTTGCTTTTCACCTTCCCACTGATGACCTGTCCATTGGTTATTTCACGTTTTACCGCTATCTCTAGGAGCAGAACCGATATTTCTTGCTGTCCCTGTCACAATCTCAACAAAGTTATGGCCACATCATCCCAAAAAGTTTCTTCTCTCCTGGGAGCTGCATTGAGCCCACATAAGCCACCATTACTTGACAGGGATTAAAAACGGGGAGACTCCAAAGTTCGCGGTAAAAAATGAAGCCCAGAAAGCTGTCAAACCAACTACTCCCCCGTCCCCAAAGAAAAAGCAAAGCTCGAAAATAGGGCTCTAAAGATTGTCGGAAAACGGTTGTGAAGTTTTTCCCTGAAAATGGTACTGTCATTGGGACGATGCTGAGAATTATTCCAGGGTAACTTCATTTCAGCAGAAACAGTGGAGAGCAAAAACTGTAGTTTTCTCAAAAATGAACCTAAAATGATGATTGTATGGGATTTAAAAGCAGGAGTATATAAATGGTATATCACTTACCCATGAAATTCGTTTTTCTCCTGTTCCAGAAGCTGTCGCTCAGCGCTCAGACGGGTGAGAAG